GGGGGGTCGTCTGTGATCTGACCACGTTTCATGTAACACCCAAAATATGGGTGGAACATGAAACATGTACTAGATCAGAAGGCAGTAATCGCAGTGTTGGGCTTTAAATCCCATGGTGACCACTATGTGCCCACTGGTATATATTTAGCAGGCATGTGGCCTTTGCTTCTCTCTGGTGGTAAGGACAGCGGGGAGATCTGACCCGATCTGCTGACGTCTGAAGATTTGTAGATGTTTAATGCTGCATGTGTAATGTTGCCACTCAGATTAGCCGGATTGCTCTGATCATTTTATCCCGCCTAGGTCGGAGAAGCCAAAGTGACGGAAGTGAAGCTGAACGAGGCGCGGGAACACTATCGCCTGGCCGCTGCCCGCGCCTCCCTCCTCTACTTCATAATGAACGACCTCAATAAGATCCATCCCATGTATCAGTTTTCTCTGAAGGTCGGTGACTAATGGCTCCAATATGGGCTGTAACACATCCGCTCTGTCCCTCTGATGTCTTCATTCATTTCTGCACATCTCCTGCCTCTATCGGTTTCATATTTCATGTACAGGACTTATAACTGAGACTTTCATATTGCTTTGCAGTAACTGGGCTCAACTTTTAATAACGACAACTAAACCTTAAAAGCACGTAGCGTTATTACTGCCATTTGTGTATCTCCCTGTAGAACGCCTCTTCTGCCGCATAATTACCATAGGAGAGCAAATATAAAAGACTCTTTTACTCCTTCCATGCGCGCCTTTAAAACTTGGGAATCATTGCACAGTTCACTCAGTGCAATGTCTCCGTCCTTACTGTGAGCTGAAAGCCGATATCAGGCTAGCAGCAGCAATGCTTGCTGACAGATAGTACACAAAGGTGGTTAGGTGAGTTACAGGAGGGCGATGGCTTGGGATGGGCGTCATCTCAGCTGTAATGCTATTTTATTATGAAGAATGAGACTCTTTTTTCTGATCCTCTAATTATTTCTATGTGTGCCAGCCTTCTGACACAATCCAAAACCTTTGCCGTCCTGAAAAACGAGACTGTCAGAGATATGGTCCATTTACTCTCATTAGTCCCTAACATAAGATAGTTGGAAACTAAAACTGTCATTCACTCCTGGTTACCACTGTCGGCCCGATTTAATACTTCAGCTAGTGAGTAGGGATAATGGAAGATATATAATATAATATACAGTATATATAGTATAGGAGATAATATGAGGGGAGGACAATAAGTCCTTATCCATCTTCAAGGGAAATCTGCCCAAATAATCCATGAAGAGATGTCAGCTGTGCATGTAGAGGATTGTCCATAGGCTATGAATCCACCGTACTCGTCTGACCTGGCACCTTCAGGGGCAGAGATTCATAGCCTATGGACAATCCTCTCCATGCACAGCTGACATCTCTTCATGGATTATTTGGGCAGATTTCCCTTGAAGATGGAGGAACCTAAATCACAGCTCGGTATTCAACTTTGTCCGGCATGACACCTACTCCATTTCTCTTGGCTCTAACTATAATTCACCACGACCTACAAAAACATAAATTGGCACGCATATTACTAAGATATCCACCTATAAACCTGCAAAATGTCAGATCCCTAGCACATCTAGATCATGGTGAGGGTAAGGACTTATCGGCCTCCTTTTGTAAACTAAGCATCTTTCTCTGAATATATATTGGCTGAATAGAGGTATTGGTTTTCCCGGAGGTCTTCTTCAAAGCAGGTCTTCCTCCATGACCCCAGATATTTCACATCCTGTATATACATCTATGTAATAATCTCATAACCAGGTGATTGCGCCCCCTGCGAGCTTTGTCCAGATGCTGCACATGTACCATGCATGTTACTGGTGTGTTGCCTGGTATAACACGGATGCGCTCTGTGTTCCCTCTCAGGCGTTCAGCGTAGTCTTCCAGCAGGCCGTACAGAAGGCACCGGCAGACGAGGTCCTTAAACAGCGCGTGGCAAATCTCATAGACAGCATCACATTCTCCGTGTTCCAGTACACAACGCGGGGGCTGTTCGAGTGCGACAAGTTAACATACATTGCACAGCTGGCCTTCCAGGTAAGATGGACGCAAATTACAACACAACTGGTCCTTATGCAAAATATCTTATGTTGTTCCTGGAAGGAAGAGTTACCTGTTCATCCAATGAGAGAATGAGGGTGATAGTTGAAGCAAAGTGGAAATGGAGGTTAACTGTTTATCAAATGAGGGTTACATGGCCAACCAATGAGGATTAACTATTCAAGCAATGAGGAAATGAGCAGTAACTATTCAAGCAATGAGGAAATGCGGGTTAACAGTTCTACCAGTAAGAAAATAAGCATTACCTGTTTATCCAAAGATATAATGATTACTGTTCTACCAATGAGGAAATGATGGTTAATTGTTCATCCAATGTGAAAATAAGGGTCAATGAGGGTTAACTTTTAGCCAATAGGAAGGTGTAGTAGACATAAGCAGCACTATCTGGTCTTGGGGTAAGAATTATGCAGCCAGCCTAGTACATCTTAACCTTGGAGATGGATGTGTGTATGGAAATAAACTGGAATACTCAAGCAGTGCGATTGTGTTCATACCATCCTAATTCAGAAGAACGTTTGTGGGTTCCTTTAGAGGCTTGGTTCTCAACTGATGGGTCGTGACCCAAAAGTGGGTCGCTGCATGCCTTCCACTTTTCTAGGTGAGAGGCTCCTCAGCCTCCCCCTAGCCTCCACCTAGTGCAGCACTGTCCATTCTTACACAGAGCAGCCATTCAAGTCGAGTGTTGACTTGAGGTGGGGTGGGCTGGAAGTATGGCCCCGAGGGAGCTCCATCCATACATGCATTGCTTACGGCTCCCCCACATGTCCTGTAGAGGTGCCTGGACCGGAGTGACATCACATTCTGGCTCCTGGCACCTCCACAGGCGCTCATGGGACCTGTACACACAATGCACATATTGATGGAGCTCTATCACAGCTTAGCAGCCCACCCTGCCGTGCGTTCCATTGCAGTACAACTTGGGTTGCTACTTAATGACCGAGGACAAATGTGGGTCCTGAGGTTACACAGGTTGAGAACCACTGCTTTAGAGTCGCAGTGAACACATTGAATATATACCTTCCACAATTATTACCAAATGAATTGACTAACTAGATATCTATTTTAGTATTTTATCTTAGTACAATCCTTAAGTAAACTTTTTATATGGTTGGTGATCTCTACACTCAGATCCTTCACTCCTATTTCCCAAGTATAAACCTCAGCACTCTTAGTTCAATCTTTAATATTGTTTAGATTTAGTGTTGGACCAATTGCCACCAGAAAATATAATTTCTGGAGAAGAAATACAAGAAAGGCAGCATGAGAGTTTATTCATGAGCATGTTGTAGGGAAATTGTGGTCAGCCCAGCTGAGGCCATGGTGGGACCCAACCTGTTCATGGACAGTAAAGGTCATCTTGAGCTTGCTGTGGGCTGTCAGCTTGGCACGCTGTAGAGATCTGCAAACGTTTACATGTTATGATCGAGTCCCTGAGGTCATTCCTGATCCCCTACATGCATCCCTGTGTCAGGTACAGAAGAAGATCCAGACACAAAGTTTTTCCTCCTGTGCTACTCTTTTATATAGGACTGGGATGCTGGTAAATGGGTTGGGTGTGACCCATTGGACCTGGGCACGTTTGGCACCCGTTGGCCTGCGGTATGTAGATAAAGCCCCTGCAGGCTTCTTTTACACCGAACAGGAAGATTTACAATTTTTTGCATCTTTCAGATCCTGCTGATGAATAAAGAGATCAACCCAACCGAATTGGACTTCCTTCTGCGCTACCCTGCCCAGCCCGGCCTCACCAGCCCAGTGGACTTCCTTTCCCACCAGTCCTGGGGCGGAATCAAGGTGAGTGTGGTTCCTCCGCATGCCCCTCCGATATTCTTCTCTCACACTGCGCCACTGCACACCTGCGTGCCTTTGATGTGTATTACTCGTGTACCTGGCCCGTTCCTGTACATGTCTGTCCCCTCTGGTGCCTCTCAAGGACGTTTAATCTGGGGCATTGCTGATCACATGAGCAACTGCTGTTCCCGCCGATGGTTTGATTGCTGGTTTCCTGGAAGAGGAGATGTCCCGGGGCTATAGATGAAGCCGCAGGCTTGCAATGACATTCTGTATCCTCCATAGGAACGTTTACATACAGCTGTTTGTTTAACTCCATCCCTCCCCGTACTGCTCGCTTGCAGCCCGCCAATGGGCAGCGATGGCAGCGTGTGCCGGAGCAGTTTGAAGTCTGTGGTGAGGAAGAGGTCAGGGATATCTGTACATTCCTCGGTGCCAAACCCACTGATTTGTAATGTTTGTGTGTCCTCACTAGGAAAAGGACGGACGCAGCCCGCTGGCTTACTTTCCTTTAAAGCCCATTTCCAGCTGGGTTTTAAAGTGAACCTGTCAGCCATTTTATAGCCCAGGACAAGATAGCGGACCTTACCCCAGCTGGCCACTCTCCTCTCTCTGTGCCCTGCGCTGAATCCTGTATGACTTTGTGGGACCCGCTCAGAAATAAATCTAATTTATAGACAACAAGAATACATTCTGGATACTGCCATTAGGGCATTATTGCCGGTTTTCATCAGAGTGTGAAATTAGAACTGTCAGTGTTCCCTTACAGCGAAGCTGCAGTGAAAAATAACAGTTAGAGGATCAATTTCATTGTCGGCCAGTAAAGATACTTTGATAACAGGGGCAGAATAAAAATATATATATTCTGCAGTCTCTTATTAATAGTAAAACAGCAGCTTTTTCTGGGCCCTTCCTTTTATACCCCTTCCGGGGCATTTTCATAGAGCTGTGAATCTGACATTCACCAAACATTGCCTGCAGGTGACTCTTTCAGGTGCATGTGTTTTAAATGTCTGTGACTGATTCCCCACTAGTGAATGTTTGGTGACGTTTGCATTCACTGTGTTATAAAATGCCCCGTCACTTTATCCTGCCGGATGATTCATTATTTTACCACTTCCTTTAACAGGGTGACAACGCTGCATTGCACAGCAGCATTGTCACCTTGCGGATAGGGTAGTCTAAGGTGGGCATGTGGTTTTCAATGGAATTTAAGAAAGCAACAAGCAAATTAACCCCTTAATGCCGGCCGTACACATATATGTGGCAGCATGGCAGTGGGCCTTAATGTCGAGCTGCCAATTAAATATATGAATGCATTCGGCCGGCGTCCAGGTGTGCCGGAAATATGCTCAGCCAGCGCTCCCAACACAGTGACCATGACAGCTCCCGGTCACTGTTTATGATTGGGAGCCGATCTGTGAACCCCAGTCATAGAAATCACATGACCAGGATGCCCATTGAACTCTTCCATAGGGCTGCAACAACTAATCGATTAAATCGATAATAACGGGGCGGGAGAGAGAGAGATATTTTTTTAATGCAACCAAACAACTAGTTGAAAAAATAATCGGGCAACTAATCGATTATGAAAAGAATCGTTAGCTCCAGCCCTACTCTTCCAGCACTACGAACTCTTAAAGGGCCAGCTTAAAATATTGAAGCTTAACTTTACCTATCACTATTAAGCAGTTACACCATTTTGTTGTTGTTATTAAACTATATTAATAAAAGCTGCTTATTACAGGGATCCCCGGCAGTATTATATGGTTTGTCCCAAACTCCCAACCCTTGTAGTTGTCAGACTTGCTGGGGAGCTTGACCTGCGTGTAAAGGTGGAGAAAATATAAATAAAGACATGAGATATAAAGAAAGGAATTCATATACTGAACTCTATCTTTACAGGTATTAACCCCAAAACAGGCACCAGAATACAATGTTTTTTGCTATAGCGGTTTCCCCAGAGTGGAGGGTTGGTTGGTGGCTTCTGCGGTAGTGGTGCAGGCATCCTCTTGCTGGGAGTTGTAGTCCCCCAACTAAAGCTGGGAAGCCACGGTTAGAATTGTGCTAAAAGAAAGTTTGATTATTTCATATCAGCAGCAGTAAATGGGGTCAAAGTGACGATCGATTTTGTAGTGACAAAAAAACAAATCACAGGAGCAGGATGGAAAATGTTTCTCAGACTAACAAAACTCTAACATTGAATGTGGTTTTCATTCGGGAAACTCAATTTTTCGAAACCGAACCTTCAAACTAAAGGAAATTTCGAAGGGCATTTGTCAAGTCTCTGATGGTATGATCGAATGTTCTAAAGAGATTTTTTGTATGAAGGTTTGTGGGGAAATCTACCAGTGTATGGCCAGGTTAATACCCGGCCCCAGAAACAGGCTCAGCATTAGATGTCTCGTACGTCTCCCATTTATCGGTCCCAGAGATCTCTCTACATGGCCCCGCCACCCCGCAGGCTGGCACAGCGCCCTCTCTTCTCCGGCTGATATGATGCTGTCACCGAGCAGTGCGAGGAGATGGATGGACGACATGCAGGGATATGAGGGACGGGCAGATATTATCCTGACAGGTGGAGAGCAAGTGAGGCCATCCGCACAGAGGGCGGCATGTCTGACACCGGGGTCTGTACCACCTCGGAATGTTGACGAGGACCCGTGATGTACATTTTGCTACATTGTCATTTTATGAAAGTATAGATTAGGAAAGCCCAGAACCTCATCCAGTATTACAGCTAATTCAGTTGCTCTCTGGTGGGGTAGGGGGGAGTGCTAACTGCTGACAAGTGGGAGGGGACTGCTGACAGGTGGGAGGGGACTGCTGACAGGTGGGAGGGGACTGCTTGTCGGGTGGGAGGGGACTGAAGACAGGTAGGAGAAGGCTGACAGGTGGGATAGATTT